CTCTCTCTCTCTCTCTCTCTCTCTCTCTCTCTCTCTCTCTCTCTCTCTGTGTGTGTGTGTGTGTGTGTGTGTGTGTGTGTCTCCTATCTTTGACAAAAGTTGCTGGTATCATTTTACAGGGACAACCAGTCATAGATATGAATGCAAAGGAAGGAAGATGCAGAACTAGAACATTCCAAATCAAGAAGCTAGAATTTTAGGCACTTAGGTGACACAAGAAAACTGTACTGTGAAGTCCCGTTAAAACCAAGTTGAGGGCAATCATTCCATCTCTAAGGTGTGAAAACACAGTGTGTGATGCACAGATATGTGCATATCAATTTATCACAGGCTTGAAGAAAAAGTTAAATAAGTATAGAAAGAAAAATAAAAGCCAAGCAATTTTTTTCAGAGCCCATTTGGGTCTTCAGTGGAATTTGAGGCTCTCTGGAGTGAGGCAAGAAAGAGGTTTGTAGGAAAGCCAGTTGTAGAGCTTTCCAGGTCTTGTGAGTTTTTAAAAATAATAAAAAATCTTTTAACAGTCTTTTGTGTGTGTGTGTGCCAGACACTGTATTTAATGTATAACATGGATAGTACCCCATAGGAATTATCACATGATTTAGGCTGTTAACCCTGTATCGAAGACAACGGAACTGAGGTTCTGAAGGATTAAACGTGTTATTCTTCAGTCATATATGCTTGTGAGTGGTACGGTCAGGTGGCTTTGTGAAGTGAGTTCTTTTCTATATTGCTACTTTTCTATATTGCCGGGGAAGCCTTTGAGTGTTATCAGTGGCTGTATGAACACTTTACTAGAAACAATCACTATGGTGATTAACAGCTGCTGTTCAATGGTGTCCAAGTATTGCTTTGAATTCTATCTATAGTAAACCCCCAGCACACCTCATACCATGACCTGTGAGCTAAAGATTTTTTCAAAAATGTGTTCTATAGATAAAAAAAATAATAATTCCTCAATCCAGGGAAGACTTTTAGCTGCTGTGACCCCAAACTCCTATTCCTACATTTGGGCCTGGATAACTGAAGTGAGGGGCAGACACTGTACCAGAGCTGACACTCAGAATGAATCCACAGTGCTGGAAGGTAGAAATCTCAGACACCAAAATTGTAATGGAGAATGTAGGAACGGCTCCCTACACCTAATCACTGATCTGTGTATACTTGTACCTTTTTGAGCATCTAAGCATGGGGAGCAACAGGACTGCTGCAGATGGGTTGGGCTAGGCATCAGGCTCTCCTTAACGTCTAGTTGTGAAGTCCAAGTCCTAGATAGTTCCCTTTGCTTCTCTGAGTTCCATTTATTGAATCCTAAATGGTGTTATCTCTTTCCTTCTGAGTAAGAATTAGAGATTCTGAGTGTGGAACCCCTCAAAAAGTTCCTGACAAAATAGAAGATGCTTAATAAATGCAGTGGACTGCTCTTAGGCAAATGATAACCTTACTAAACATCATTAATTCATATCCTATGGAGCATTATTTAATACTGAGGAATAATCAAACATTAGAAATCAACATAATGATAATCACATTGACTACCCTTGGGGAAGGGACACAAACATTATGTTTTGGACTGTAAATGTACATCTGCCCATGGAACAGAATAAAAATGAAATAAAAAAGCATTCTTACCAGACCTATGATGGCTGCTCCGATCCCAATGAGAGGACTGACAGAAAGAATAACCAAGGTCAGTTTCCAACCCCTGTAGAGTCCTACCAGGAACCCACAGATGGCTGTTGTAATGCGTTGAATGAAGTGGGCCAGCTGGTCGGCAATGGCTTCATTGATTTTATTAATATCACTAGAAACAAGAGAGAGGCAGATCAATACAACTGAATTCCATCAATTCAAGTGTTTGTTGAAACAGTTTTCTCTCTTTCTCTATGTCTCCTCCCACTGTTGCTCTTTAACAAGAAGTGGGGACTACTTCCTAAACATTCAAACACTTCTCACACCTTGGAATGTTATAATGGCTCTCCTTACAGTCGGTTTTGTGTGTGTGTGTGTGTGTGTGTGTGTGTGTGTGTGTGTGTGTGTGTATGTGTGTGAGCGCGCACACATGCACACGTGTGTGTGCATGCGTGTGTTAACTTTCAAGCTGATGTGGCTCCCGAAACTCTGGATCATCCCCAGGAAAAACTCATATTGCCTCCCCATCTCTCCAAAGCAAAGTGATTAATCTGTATGTGTCTGTCTGTCTGCCTGTCTATATGTCTTTCTCTATATATGTCTGATGTGTGTGTGTGTGTGTGTCTGTATATAACTGTGTCTATGTTTATTATATTCTATCTGTAGGCATAAGGCTAAGATCACAGACTCTGGGACCACACTCTAAGTTTGAATGCAAGCTCTTCCTGGGAAAATTATTAAAATTTTTGTGTATCAGTTTCCTCATCTATAAAAAGATGATAATAGCAGAACCCACCTTACTGTCCAGTAATTAGAGTCAAACTAATTAATATGTACAAGTATATAGAACAATACTCAGTATAACTAGCAGCCACTGTGTGTTACTTTGGACCACTTCTTTGCTTGCTCATCTTATGCCTCCTACCAGGATTCTGGTTATTCCAGAGCTTCCAAGCCAGGAATGTAAAGAATTGCACAATATTGGTTGAACATAACTGCATAAAATTCATAAGCCTGAGGGCATTCCCCTAATCTCTTGTCTAGATGGAGCAAACAGGGGTTGGTATTTAATAGCAAGAAGGAACCCAAGATGTTACCCAGTGGTCAACCATTGTCTTCTGGTGACGTTAAGCATCTGTTAACATAACTTTCTCTTCACTCTGTGAGCATTAACAGATGCTTAACGTCACCAGAAGACAATGAAAGTTATGTTCTGGACTCTAAGAAGCCTGAACTTCCACTCTCCCTTACTTTTGTTACTGGCAGGCAGGATCTAAACGGGGTGTTTCCAGGTTCTCAGCTTCTTATCCGATAACTGAAAATAAGGGCTCACATAGATTTGCAAAAGGAGCAAGACAGCTTTATTTGGACTTCAGTGATAGCACAGAGTACAGAGAATACACTGTCAAGACTGACACAGGTCACATAGTTGAGAGTACTCAGCGGCCCCATACCACAAGGCCTGGGATCTGTTTTTATGGGATCTAAAGAAAAGAGGAGCTGGTTACTAAGGGGCATAGTTTGGATGTTTCTCTATTTTTACTGATAAATGAGAGCATTATTTTTTTCTCCCTACTATGTATGTCTCTTTCTACAATGTGTCTGACTTTAATCATATGGTGCCCAGTTATGCACAGGCATACGGTGGTAAACAGACCCAAGGACAGTTTTGCTCTACTGAGCAGGTTCTCAAAAGCACTTCAGGTCCTTCTACTATATACTTTCAGTAGAAACTGCCCAGATATGCTTTCAGTGGAAACTACCCAAGTTTGATGATGGTTGCTAGGGGAGAAGAAACTTACCGCATTGTTTAGAGAGATCTGTTCACGTAGTTGATACAGGTGTGGTCCAGGGTTGTTAGGTGCATTGTTTAGGTGTGTGTGTGTGTGTGTGTGTGTGTGTGTGTGTGTGTGTGTGTGTGCAGCTAAGCTACCAAGTACATTACTGGAAGAGGGAAGGTATGTATAACCTATAAGACTTTTGCAAGGCTTCAAAATTCAGTTCCAAAGGGTCCAATTACTGTAAGCTGTTTTGGTGTCAGTTGTTTGTGTATTTTTTGTTTTTCATTTTTTGTTGTCGTTAATTGTTTTTAACTTTCTTAAGCTGCTTTTAGAATTTATTTAACTTTCTTAAGCTGCTTTTAGAATTTATTTTTGGGTTTGTTTCTGTGCCTCCATAGATATAGCAAAATAATTACTTCCAAGTGTATTTTTTCCACATATATATAGGTTGTCGTAGCCATCTCTCTTTTTCACCTTATGTCAAATAAGGACACATATCTAAACTCTCCCCTGTAATAACTCATGTCTAATAGTTTGACCAATGAGCTACAAACAAATCTGTAAAAGCCTGTCTATTTTAGTAACTCTATTATAAACTATTCTCTACGAACATGCCATACCTATAAAAGTCTAATTTATTCTTATTTATTTATTTGATAGTTTTTAAACCAAGGTGTCATGTAGCTTAGGCTGGCCTAAATACCCTGTATAGGCAACAGTGGCCTTGAACTTCTGATCATTCTGCCTCCACCTTTCACCTGCTGGGCTAACACGAACTGAACTTATAACTATGTGATTTTTTTAATCAAAATTATACATTATAACATAGCTGTACCAGCTACTTACTCAGAGAATCTTGAATTCAGCTCTCCCACAGAAGTACAGTCAAACCATCCAATTTCCATCCTCATTAGGCTCTGAAAGTAAACTTTCCTCATTTTCCTTATTTGACGAGCCCCGGTGATTACCCAAAATCTTATCTGAAAGTCAACAAAGGTGTATTTAGCATTGCAGCGTTAAGCACATCTGTTTATTCTTTCTACTCTTTCTGAAAAATAGCACTTCCCATCATTATGGTTGGGAAGCTGAAAAGAAGAGGGAGCCATTCACAAATGGCCTCTTCTTGATGCCCCCTGCTACTGGGGGCATCAAGGTATGAGCTCTGATGCCCCCTGCTAGTGGGGAGGTGAGCAAACATTTGCAGGGGTGACCAGAGATCTGGCTTTGACTCCACTTCTGGCAGGTGGACAAGCCACTGCCTTTGAATTTTGCCTAATAAGTTTCACTGTCCACATCAAGTAAAACAGGTTTGAAGCATCCACACTAAGACACACATACTCTACATTCATTCCTTTTGCACACCACTTCTCAAATTTCCCCTTGTGAAAAACACCTCTAGGCATCCATGTTCAAAAATGATTTGAGGACAATGTAAGCCAAAAAATCATGATCAAAGCAGAGAATCTCATTTGATAATTGATTTCCCTTAATTAAAAAAAAAATAGGTATCATGACAACCGGAGCCACAATGAGAGAAATGGATCCGTTTCTCTTTACAACTAATGTTACCTGGAATCCTTTGATGGCAAAATGTGAAGTATTTTTCTACTTTAATAAGGCTTAAGACTAGAAAATCTGATGCAGAATTACAGAATTGGGCCTGGAATGTCATTCGGTTAGACCTCAGCAAAGAAAGAGAAAGGGGAATGTACTCTTTGTGTTCTTAATCTCTCAATGGCCAGCTTTCTCCGTGCTGCTCAGCTTCAGCCTACAGATACACCGCAGCTCTTCATTCGTGGGCTGAGAAGAGCAGCAGATAGGGGCGGTCAGGGAGGCAGCGCATCCCTGGAAACAGCTACTCCATTTCCCTGCGCAATAGTTTGCATCCCGCTCAGCTGTCGGGTGAACCTTCCCGCTCTCACATGCTTCCTAAGTAGAATTGCAGTTCTTAGGGCTTCTAAGCAATTTAAAAGCTAAAAACAACATTTCCCGTTTCATCTTGGTGTCTACGAGGCCAGATGTCTGTCTGTAAATAAAACGGAGGTGAGACTAACTTGAATGTATCCTAGGATAAATACAGCCACGCCGACTCCTGCGTAGAGGCCAGAGTACTTAATCATTTCACTTTCGACGTCCAACAACCTTAAAAAGAGGGAAAAGTACTGAGATTTACAAGTAGAATCCAGTTATCAAGGGTTGCACTGGTAAGTTTAGAGGGCTTTAACATAGACTTACTACACATTTCTCTTAAATAGGGGAAGACGTTGTGTTTCATCAATGTAGCATTATAAATGATCTATCTAGTCAAATCCCTAAATAGAGCTTACAGCACCAATTACACACAAATATGTTCACCCTTTTTATTTTATTTTTTACTCATTTATTTGGTTTTTCGAGACCGGGTTTCTCTGTATTGCTTTGGAGTCTGTCCTGCAACTCACTCTGTAGACCAGGCTGGCTTTGAGCTCTCGGAGATCCGACTGCCTCTGTCTCCCAAGTGCTGGGATTAAAGGTGTGCACCACCAACGCCTAGCCCACCCTTTTTATTTTCTTACACAAAGATGCTAGGATTGTGCAATAATACTTGGCAGTTTCTAGAAGAGACTGGGCCCAAAGGGATTCAGCTGGACCCTTTTCCTCGTTCACATGCAGAGAAAAATTTTAACCGCCAGTTGGGCTGCCTGGAAAGATAATTTTAGAAATAGGTGAGCTGTCAATCAGAGCTTACTATTCACACCTCTGGGAAAGTAAGCCAGTTTTCACCTTCTCTATCCTACAGTGGCATTTTAAAATGTGGTTGTCATATTCCTACGGATGAGAGAAAGCCCCTCCCATTAGCCCTAGCTTTCTGCTGACTACAGCCCACAAAGCTTCTCTCACTAGGATTAATTCAGGAGTTGAAGAAGAAATAACCACAAGGAACCCTAAGGAGCTGCCCCTCTCTTTCTCTCTTCACTCCCACAGATAACATTGTGCTGTGACATGCCAGGAAACAAGGGATTTTTGTAAAGTGAGAATGGGCATATTTGTTGCTCATGATGCTGGCCTTTAACAACTAGTTAAATGGCACTGATCCTCCTTATTTAGGAAAGGAAAGGAGAAGAGGTTCTTCAGTGCACATGTCCTATCCTGAATGATTCCAGATGTCACTGTCCCCTGATAACCTGAGTTTGCCTTGAATAGAAAGGGCCATTTTCTCTTTTTATGTGCTGTGCTTCAGATTTCAAGTCTAAAATCTCATTATCTAGCCTAGAACTAGAAAGTAATCTCAAATTCAGTTATAAAACTTGAGGATTTAAAAAAATATTTAAGTCAATGGGTCTCTTGAGTTCACTTCCTTACAGTTTTTACTTTTATTCCCTATGAACAGAGATCCTCTGCCTCTATCTCTTGAGTGCTGGGATTAAAGGCATGTACCACCACCGCCTAGAGAAACCAGGAGACGTTTATCAAAAGATAGAAAAGTTGGTAGCAAAGGGAGCAAATGTAAGAGTTCTTTCTATTATGTAGCACAGCTATTACAGTTAGTAACTGTGTCTTTGTATACTTGAGAATGCTAAAGGAGGGCTTTTGAGTGTTTTCATCACAAAAAGTATATATAATTATATATATATATATATATATATATATATATATATATATTAGTTAGGGTTATTTAACCCCCCCCCAATGTATATACATATTAAAACACCTTGCACAAAAACATACATGCAATTTTAATATATTAATTCAAAATGTCATCAAATAATAATAATAATAATAATAATAATGATAAATAATAATCAGAACAGATCCATATCCAGCAGAGACTGAACCAACAATCAAAACCAGTCAGCAAGGGAAAAACTAGACGGCTTCACTGATAAATTTTACCAAACAGTTTAATATTGATACCATTTATTTTAAAGCTTAAAAAAGTAGACTTGAAAGAAACACTTTGAAATTCACTCTGAGTCCAACGTTAGTTACCTCATTCCAAAACAGCAACAACAACAACAAAAGCACATGCTGATATGTCTAATGAATATAGTCACAAGACTCCTTGACAACTAGGTGGCCCAGGAGATGCTCAGTTGATGAAGTGCTAGTCACATAAGCCCAAGAACCTGAATTTGATTCCCACCCTTCATGTAAAAGCCAGCCACACTGCATGCACCTGCAGTGCCAGCCCTGGGAAGGCAGAGGCAGGGGCACTTTGGGGCTTATTGGCCAACCATCTAGCAAACTGTGTATGCTCTGGGATCAGTGAAAGATCCAAACCCAAATGAAATAGCTAGTGAGTTCTTAGTGCCCCAGCAGATACCTTCACATCTGCGCTCACACGAATGGCCCTGGTTAAAGCCAGTGGGTCTCAAAGCAAAACAAAACAAAAAGACATAAAAGTGGGATGGGGCATACTGTCAGAAAGGGGAAGGGATGATAGTGTTATGAGAAGGACAATTGAGGGTGGAGGGATGGGTATGCCCAGAGTGTATTATATACATAGCTGAAACTATCAGATCATAAATTAATTTTAAAACATAAATAAAAATAAAGTGGAGAATGATTGATGAAAGCATCTAATGATGACCTCTGGTCTCCATACGCATCTACATACACAAGTTCACAAACACATGTACACACACACACACACACACACACACACACACACACATCCTCAGCTAAACACTAACAAATTCATTCTTGGAACATATTAACAGGATCACACACGTTACTAAGTACAAGGTATTCCTGGTGGTTCAGCATATGAAAGTCAATCAGTAATATAGGCCATATAAATATAATGCAAAAAAACCCCACATCGTCTCAAAACTCAACACCTGTTAATGATTAATAATGATTAAAAACTCCTCAAAACCAGGAATAGAAGGCAACTCCCTCAATATGATAAAAGGCACTTGTGGAAGCCTACAGCTAGTACCACTCTCAGTGATGAAAGACTTCACCTCAGAGTCAAGATAAAGACAAGAGTGCACAGTGTCATAGCATTGTATGGGAAGACGGGCTCAGAGCAACTGTACAAGAAAAAAATAAAACTAAGAATAAAGCATCTAGTGAGAGATGAAATACTGTTGTCTCTATTAGATGTGGTGATCTTCCGTAGAAAGTTCTAAAGATTCCATTAGAAACATATTGGCACTAATAAATAGGGCAACAAGGTTGTGGAAGTCAACATCAGCACTCTAATAAATTGTGTATCTATATAGCAGCAGCAAAAAAAAAAAAAAAAACCCACCATGCAATTGAGAAAATTAGTCTGCTATTATTATAATAGCAACAAAAAAGAACAGAATACTTAGCAAACAGATTTAATAATAGTACAGATTTAATATGATTAAAATTAAAAAACCTTGTTGAAATTAAAAACAACTTAAATATTTAGATTACAGGCTTACTACCGAGAGAACAATATTCCCCCAGATTGAGTCACAGATTCTATGCAATGCCAGTTTGCAACACTTATTCAATTCTAGGTATAAGACCTGGTAAGAAGGAACCCAGGTGTGGTGGTAACAACAGGAAATTCCTTGCTTATCAATCAATGCCTGTGGTGTAACACCAAGGCTAGATTTGTTCTTTAGTTCACCTAACAACGTCTATAGGCAGCTAATGCCCTGGAAGTGTCTTGCATTTTGACCTAACATTTATTTTCAGGATTTAATGGCCCAGTGTTATCAATACTGTGATGATATCACTCTCAAAAAAGTAGTTCATTTCTGCCCTCCAAAAGAAATGGAGAGCTTTAAAGGGCTCGTTGAAATTGGTCTCTTTTTAGGAACTGGTTAGTCCCTCAGAAAAATATATCCTTGCAAGCTTAGAGGAATATACAAATTCAGATGCCAGCAAGTTTATCTCCAGTGGGTTGGCTTGCTAATTGTTAAATTTACCTTTTAAAATGCCTATGTTCACATACATTCTCACCTTGGTTTTGAGCCAGGGTTTCTCACCACTCCTGGAGCTCACTGATTGCCAAGGCTGACAGACCAGCAAGCTTTGGGATTTTTTGTGTCTCTCTGCCCTTTCCTTCCGCTCTGGGCTTCCAGAGGCAGACACTGTCATTCCAGACTTTTTTAATGTTTGTTATTATTATTAATTAAACATATTCATTTATTTTACATCCCAATGGCAGTTTTCCCTTCCTTCCTCTCCTCCCATTCCCTCCCCACATCTCCCCCCCCTCCCCCAAACCACTCCTCCTGTGTTTCTGTTCAGAAAGGAGTAGGCCTCCCTCTACTTGTGGAACTCCTAACAATGGGAGCAGAGCCTGTCCATAACACTTTGGCTGGCTTTCAGGAACCTATTCCTCATGCTGGGTCACCTTGCCCAGCCTTAATACAAGGGAGGAGCTTAGTCCTACCTCAACTTGATATGTCATTCCTGATTTTTTATGTGGGTGCCAGGGATCTGAACTCAGGTCCTCATGTTCACATAGAGATCACTATACCCAATAAGTGATCTCCCCAGTCTCTGCTTAGTAATTTTCAAAGGGTAGTGCGATGCATTGCATAAAATTTTATGCTTTTTCATCATCTAGCGCTACTATGAATGATCACTGAATGAGTGACTAGACCAGCTCTGCAAAAACAAGGATGTAACTCACAGGATTGTGTGTCCCTGATGCTTCTACAAGTCAGTGTTACTTAATTGACACTCAAAGATTTTTAATTGAAGGAATGAAAAACCCTCCAAGTGGATGACATCAAAAAAGAATGTTAATGATTTAGAAAGACTCATAATTTAAATCAACCCAATCAACATCTTCAAAAATTAATATGAGAATCAAAAATTTATTTGAGGAAGCCATCCCAAGTGTCTTTCTAAGAAGGGCATGCCCTTTCTTTGACTCATGAACCTGAGCATATGGATTCATATGTGCCAATGAACTTGTTCTGCATCTGAGGCAGCACAAGGCAGGTATAAAATGAATGCCACAACAGAGAGTTGGCACACATATACTTCAGACTCACTGATTACAAAGTGGTCTGTTGGGTGTATCTCAGAGACCATGGTAGTCTGAGTTCTGGCTATTTCTTCAAGGCCACCTCTTGTCACTGTACCAACAAACCACTCTTCTATGGAAACTTAACTACTGGCTGTAACTATTGATTCCTATTCCTCTAATGTAGCCCACACATGAAACACATGTTGAGGGGACAGAGCCAAGAGGCAAAAAAAAAAAAAAAGGTAAGTGGGGAAGGAGCTTTTTTCTAGGAGACTCAAGTAAAATTCTCTCCTGAGTGGCAATAAATACGGACAGTGTCATGCTCAGGCGTATAGTTACTTGCTGCTGAAGTATTTGATCAGCAGTGACTGTTGATATTTTAAGACCTGGAAGAAGGGGAAAAAACTGCAAAATTAAGGAATTTCTATCAACATGGATAAGTTTGTTTTTCTGTTCTTTTGTATCAGATGTCATTCCAACTCAGTCAATATTGTCTTTGGAAGTTTTTGAATTTCAAGATATAACAAAAAGAAAAAAGAAAAGTAGCCTACCCACACCGTGTTCCATTTGTCATGTTTTGGTTGAAGGAGCTGTTGATCCATACAATGGTGTTATTAATGCACACTTTTCCTGGAATCAAAAGTTCTTGTCTTTCAATGTCATACTCAATAAAAACATCTATCATCATGCCAAAAACAATAAATATGCATGGCAGGGCTATTCCATGGAGCAATGCACACAGACTTCCCATAATCATCAGCCAAATGTCCATTGACGAAGAAAATCGAAACTTGAAAAACAAAAGGTTCAGAGATTATTTATATATGAGAAGCAGGTGAGGTAGAAGGCCTATTTAATTTCACTTCAATTCTGATAAACAGCAGTCAATACCAGGTGCTTGTGGGCGTCATGTTTAAGTAGTTGTCTTCACACTAATTATGTAGAAGTACTATCCAACAACTGTCCAAAACATTAGACTCTCACATTACATCCAAATCTTTGAATCTATTCTTCTAAGGTCAGGAGCTGACTTCACTACTTCTCAAGTCATCTTCACTGATGCCATTACCAGGTAGATATACTGTGTGAGCATTTAACAATGAAATAAGATGGCTCTCAGCCCAAAGAACCTATGTGGACAATGGGAAACGTTTTTGCTTTGAAGTGCCTCCATCCTATACTAATTTGGGGTAACTCCCTAAGCTATGGAATTTCTAAATTTCTAAAGACTTCTCATAAAAGTGGCTATATATGATCTATTGCTTTGGGAGTTATTTGATGGTTTTCCTTATCAAAATTATAATTGTGAGTCCACTGATTCTATTCCAAATGGCTATGCTGATATTGAACATGACTTGTGAGTTTACTGAGCAATGAATTTCAAATCACTATTCAGCATGCTACCACACAGGTGAAGCTCATGACTGCACGGCTGATCACTAGAGTTAGATCCTGCCAATATGACTAAAGAATTGGCACTTTCTCCAGGATATGAATCATTCACAGTTGCAAAATCAACCTAATAAATCAGCATGGTTGTATTACCAGTTCAAAGAAGCCAACTTGAATGTTTTCACCTTTCTTTTTCTCTTGTGACCTGAGAAGAAAAACAGGAATTTAAGGTCTTTTTTTCAAAATTGATGAGAAATTCTCCCTACTCGGTACTTCCAGAGTCATTATTTAATAAGAAAACAATTCCCCCTCTGGCAGGGAAATTCTGGCCAAACCCAGTATTTTGCACTCATGAACTCTCAACAGTTGGGGGTGCCTGACCAACACCTGCACAGGTTCACACCGATCACCATTACAACATGGATGGGGAAAGGGTTCACAAGGCCCCACACCTAATTAAGGAGCGACAGGCAGTCAGTGGCATCTGAAGGGGTGTGTGGGGGGGTGCGTTTTCTTCACAAATAAGACCCTTAGTAAATTGCCCATACTCCAGTGGTCAGCCACAGACCCATGTGTGTACAGGCAACATTAACTGGAATCAGAGGAGATATCAAATATACATATTCTAGTTCTTGTGAAGCCAGTCACCCACCTTTGCCAATGTGCTCCCTCCCAAAACCTCCTTTCTTAGACACCCACGTGGACAGTTACTCTAACTTGGGACTCTCACTCCTAGTCTCCTCATCCTCCTCGGCAGGGCATTCCCTAGCTAAGATGTTAGGATTTCAATAACATCTGTCCTGCAACCCACATTCCATCTTAAATCTTCACTTCCACTTCACTCTTTTATTAGAAAAACAGTTACATGCTCTCAGTAACTACCATTGCAGTATTTTTTCTAAATGTATACTGTTTATTCTATCTCCCTATTAATGTGCCCTCCTCATGAGCTTTGGGGGAAATGTACTACTATGATTCTGCTAACAGAACATAGCACTAATGACTCCTAATGACATGGTGCTATACCCATAGATCAGAGCAACACTCAACCCTCATCAGAGGAGCTTCTTCTTGCAGTAGAAGGAAATTAACACAGAGATCCACAACTGGTCAACCTGCAAAGAGGAAGAGGCTTCGGAGCACTCAGCCCTAAGTGGGATGTCTTCATCAAAGCCCTCCCTCAAGGCTCAGGGAAGAAGAGAAGGCAGAAAGACTTGAGAGCCAGAGGTGATGTAGGACTCTAAGGAAGACTGTAGGAAGCCGGTTCCTGCATTATAATGGTGCCTAAAGACACCAAGATGTGAATTACTTCACTGGCGCTGGGTAATCTCCATTCCTTTGATCTCTGCCTATCCCGTGGCTCATTTTTGCCTGAGGAGCTGAAGCCATTCATAGGATAACACGTCCCAGGCGGCTGGTCAGCCTTTATATAGGGATGGTTTTCTTGGTTCAATGTCTCTGTTCAGTCTCCACTCTGGTAAGATGCATTAAAGCTTGTCTGCAGAAGGATCCGAGTGTCCTGCGTGTATTTCTTGCTGGCGAGGAATACAGAGCGCACGCGGGACATATGGTGCCGAAACCCGGGAAGCTTAACATCTCCAGCACCGCGGAGACCCCTTGGCTACAAGGCGGATTCAGAACTGCAGGATGGTAAATTCGGAGAGGTATGATTTTTCTGGACTTTG